GGTAAATCTCACCTGTCAGGTGAGATAATCACCTTTGAACAAAAAATTCCCATAGGAAAAATAAAGTTCCTGTAGGAAAAATAAAATTCCTGAGGGATATTATCGAAATCCTGCAGGATTTCTTAATTTCCTGCAGGATATTTAAAAATTCCTTTAGGACTATAATTTACCATGGGAGAATTTAATTTCCTAAGGGAATTTATTTTCCTAAAGGAGAAAACTAAATCCTATAGGAGAAAATACATCCTATAGGAAAAAAAAATTCTCCTAAGGGAATTTTTTTCTCCCTTAGGAAAAAAAATTCCCATAGGATTAAAATTCCCATAGGAATTTGAGAATTATTCCTATAGGATTATTTTTTGTGCCATCTTCTTAGTTTCATAATCTTAGTTTTAAAAAAATCCCTTAGGAATTTAAAATATTACTCCAATATGATTTTTTGTATCTACACATTTTGATTATGTTGTACTGTTCCTCTTATTTGTGTGTGGATGTCAGTGTTTAACAAGATCATGAAGCCAAAAGGCCTTGAATCGCTCTTCTGATAAATTGTACAATCTATCACAAAGCCTTGAAATTACAATCTCACTCAAGGAAATAATTTCACTATATATTACTATATAGCTTGAATTAAATTATTTATTTTTTAGATTCTCAGCAGAAAATTCATGAAAGAGAAAATAAAGATTAATGCTTAAACAAAAATTTGAGATCAGAAAAAATATGCCTTATGCGGCTTTCAACTTAGAAAATCAACAGTAAACATACCTACCCCGAAATGCACGTTGGATTCACATGTTGACAAACAGCCTACACACCATCAAGGAAGTTGCATCATGTGCACCTGAAAAAAGAATTTGTTTTAATTCAGTGTAATAATTCTGCTAAAGAATGATAATCCTAGTACATGAGTCCAATTTTAATACTGTAGGCCTAAAACAAATTACCAAAAATGAACAAGAAGCCCAAGGGCCTTGAATCACTCTTCTGATAAATTGTACAATCTATCACTTCACTTCTTGGTCTACATTCTTGGAAAACCCAAAATGCATCAACTTAGAAAGTTTGATAATATTTAACCAGTTAAGACTGAATATATTATAATATAATTATAAAATACCATAAGTAGGTCACAGTGACCTACCTTTTGATTAAAATTTTCTGAGGACTCAAGATACATTAATTGACAAAAATTGATGATTCTAATTAAATAAGTACCTGAGATATTCAAAAATAGGTCACCATGACCTCCTTTTTAGTCAACATTCTCTGAAAACCCAAGATGCATCAACTAACAAAGTTTGACGATTCTAAGCTAATTAGTACCAGAGATAATTAAATATAGCCATCAAATGTCAAAAGTAGGTCACAGTGACCTACTTTCTGGTCGACATTATCCAAAAACCCAAAATGCCTAAACTAACAAAATTTGATAATTCTAAGCCAATAAGTACCTGAGACATTCAAAAGTAGGTCACCATGACCTACTTCTTGTTGGACATTCAATGAAACCCTAAGCTGCCTCAACTGAAAAAGTTTGATGATTCTGAGCCAACTAAGTAACAGGAAATACTTAAATATAGCCATAAAATTTGTAAAGTAGATCACAGTGACCTCCTTTTTGGTCGACATTCTCTGAAAACTCAGGGTGCCTAAACTGACAAAGTTTGATGACTCTAAGCTAATACGTGCCTGAAATATTCAAAAGTAGGTCACCGTGACCTACTTTTTGGTCGACATCCTCCGAAAACCCAAGATGCATCAACTCAGAAAGTTTGATGATTCTATGCCAATAAGTACCGGAGATACTTAAATAAAGCCATAAAATGTCAAAAGTAGGTCACCGTGACCTACTTTTTGGTCGTCACTCTCTGAAAACCAAATATGCATCGACTCACAAAGTTTGATGATTCTAAGCCAATAAATGCCTAAGATACTTAAATATAGCCATAAAATGTCGAAAGTAGGTCATCGTGACCTACATATTGGTCGACATTTTTTAAAGACCCAAGATGCATCTACTGACCAAGTTTGATGATCGTAGGTCTGAAGGTAATCAAAATATGCGTTTTAAACAATTTGAAAACAAATGCCAGCAAATTCAAAAAGTAGGTCACAGTGACCTACTTTTTCATAAATATGTTTTAAGGCTCAAGATGCATCAGAGTACAATATTTGATGATTCTAAACCTCCCAATGTCTGAAATAATGGGATTTAATGTTTTTAAAAAAATAAGTCATAAAGTTCAAAAAGTCGGTCACCGTGACCTAATTTTAAGTTGACATTGTTTGAGGACCCAAGATGCATCAACTGACAAAGTTTGATGATCATAGGCTTTAAAGTGTCCAAAATATGCCTTCAAATCAATTTGAAAACAAATCCCTGCAAAATTTAAAAATTAGGTCACCGTGACCTACTTTTGAGTTCATATGATGTGAAGTCATAAGATGCATCAACTTACAAGATTTGATGATCCTAGTCCTTATAGTAAGCAAAATATACACGTTTTTATTAATTGTAAATTTAGGTCAACTTTGAAGTGACCTTGAGACCATGCCCTTTGCTCCAGGGTAATTCCCCGTGCAAATTTTAATCTTCCACATATCTTGATCCTTGTATGTAAGTTTATTAAAAATCTGCCCGGTGGTTATCGAGAAGAAGATTTTTTAGCAACCAGTACTTTTGGTTTTGTTTTCCTGATTATCTCCCCTTGTTTAAGGGTCCAAACCCTTATTTTAGTATAAATGGTAGCCCTTGGGCCAAGGATACCCTGTGACAAATTTGGTACTGATTGGCAAGGGGCTCTTGAGTTATGGCCAATATTCTAAAAAGTTTACGCGCACCGCACAAATAGCCATAGCATTAGCTCTTTGAGCCTTTGGCTCAGAAGAGCTAAAAAAGAAAAAAAAAATTGTCTCTATATATATGGAACTTCAATTGACTAAGTTCATTTTGATTGGCTATTTCCTTGCGTAAGACCTTTAAGACAACTAAAAGTTAATGAAACTAAATGAAATTTGCACAAAATGTCTCCGAGTTATTTATCTTTCATATACTAGTGCATCAAAATTTATCTTTGTCCTTAAGGGATGAAAAATTTCTGTACAAATTCATTTTTAAGCATATTAATTTCAAAATTTGAAAAAATTTAATGAGTGAATTATTGAGAAAAAAGATTTGAATGAAATGAAAGCTGAAATATTGTAGTTTTTGGCTATTTGCTAAAACATAATTTCAACTCTAATTAATGAGCTCTAATTAGCTAAGAAACAGGAAGTTAACTGATTTTTAAGGAATTAATTAGCAAAAAAGTGAAAATCTGAATTCTAAAACAAAGTCAGAGACTGGAAAAAATGGTGTCAATAGGAGACTTCAATAATGTACCTTGGAGCCTTGACAACAGTGATCACTGATTAATGGCTGGTGATTCAGATAAGGGGTTCTTAAGCAGTGTGGCCACTGTGGGGTGATGAGGCTTTTCCATCAGTCATCAAAGTTTCTCTTATAAGACCAGGCAGCTCTTAAGTGAATAAACAACACAAAAGTTTACAATACTTACAAATGTGCACCACATACAATAGCATATTCTTAGAAAAAGTCTACAAGTATACAGTTCAATAATTACCATGCCACAAAAAGGACCAAAATGGTTGCATCAACATCAATACAAAGAACGAAGTATTCCTCACAACAAAGGCCAGAAGAAAATAGGGACCACCAGCCCAGTCCAATCTCTAGTTCCCATAAGAAGACTAAGTAAGGACATTGTACGGCCACAGAAAGTGGGTTTTTTGCAGTTATAGATGGAAAGAGCCGAAGCAGTGAGATGAAGTTTTTACTACCCGGGCCAAGTGAAGTCCAGCCAGTGGACACCTACATGGAATCTGTGTCAGATGACCCAAATTCAAAAGTACTTCATCAAGAAAAGACTGCTAAATTGTGGAACAATGCATTTAAAGAACACTCACAGAAGTTTCCAGACTGTGATGGTCCACTGGACTGGAATCAGCATGGGGAGGAAAAACGATGCCTGGCATGGATCCTTTCCATTTGATGTAAGAAGTGCCACTATACCAGTCACCGAGAAAAGCTTTATGAAGAGGTGAGAAGATCTGGCAGGGGACGAAGAGCTGCACAGCTGAATGTGGCCATGGCTGTCGGTCACCTGGGTACCAGTCTTACAACAGAGGGTATGCGTGGTATGCTTCTTGGTGCAAAAATTGAACCAGAGTCAGCTGCCAATGTGCAACAGACCTGGAACAAAGTGGGGAAATTATAACCGATGTAAATAAAAACAGTATGAAGAAAATTCGGCAGAATATTCAAGAACTTAATGAAAAATGTGGACTTCCAGATACCCCCATCAGAGCCAAAGGAGATGTTCGGTAAAATAATGCCACCTTCAGTGCCATTGGGAAAACCCCATTCCATTGATTGTATATTGTTTAACGTCCCTCTTGAGAATTTTTCACTCATATGGAGACATCACCGATGCCGGTGAAGGGCTTCAAATTTAGACCTATACTCGGCACTCAGGGCCATTGAGCAGTGAGGGTTCTTTATCGTGCCAACGCCTACCGTGACACGGGACCTACGTTTTTAAGGTCATATCCGAAAGACCCGTGACTTTCACTTCTAGTGCCGAGCGCTTGGCGAAGGAACAGTCACTACCTTTTTTTTACGTCTTAGGTATGACGCCGCGCCGCGATCGAGAATCGAACCCGGGCCTCCCGATCACGAAGCGAACGCTCTACCACTAGGCTACCGTGACCGGTTAAAAACCCCATTCCAAGCTGCCACTCAAGTGACATATACCGTAACTCAGAGGAAGAATGTAGTAGCAGTTTTCTGTGGGAATAAACTATGTAAGAAAGGCGCACACCTACGAAGCAAAGGAAAAGAAGTTACCTGCCCAAGACAAGAAGACTGCACTGCAACCATTCCTCCGGAGACCACCATTGGAGACGAAACGAGATGGGTCGCTTATTGTGTTGGTGAGTTACAAAGTGATGACCAGCCACTTATATCCCATTTCACCAGTGATGGAGACAAAGCTGCTGCATCTGGTGCATCTGAAAAACAAGGACATTTGATTGAAAACGTTAAGGACTTGCGTCACTTCTTTGACTCTCAAAGAAAACAGAGTGCTAAAGCTCCATTCAGCAGTCACATGTTTCCAGGAAGAACCAAGGCCATAAGAGAATCCATGCAGCGAAGATTTGCCTTGGACCTGAAGCTTCGATGCAGGACAAAGTACGAGAATTGCTACAAACACTACTCCGGCAACTTACCTTTGATGAAGTGTGCTATGTCTACTGTGGTTGGTTCCCTCATAAACTGCTACCAGGGACAGTGCAAGAAGTCCTGTCAACTCTATTCCTTTTCCTGTCTTGGACTGAAAAGCAATAAGTGGAAATCTTCAGTGTTGCCTAGTGACTTTGAATTAAACATGACAGAAAAAGATAAACGTATGTTAAATGACTGTATAAATTTGACTTTAGGACAAAGTAATCTTCAGTTGATATAATCAAATATCATGCTTGTACACAAAATCTGAATCTGTAAATAGGGCATATTTAAAATCAAATCCAAAATGTATTACAAGTAGTAGAAATTTTGAAAGTAGAATACATAAAGTTGTGCACTCACTGAATAGGGGTCATGGAAACTCAACACTGGAACTTTGTGAATCTGTAGGGGCACCTGTTGTAAAAGAGAGTAGAGTGGTCCATCATCTAATTTTAAAAACAACAACAAAATAGACAAAATTAATTTAAAATGAAACAAAAACTTTTAAAATATAGATTTCAATGAAAATACTACAGATCTTAAAGATATCAGCTGTTCGATAAAAAATCTTAAGAAACTTAAAGTAAATCATTGACAGATCCAAAAATTAAAAAGGAAGTTGTAAGACTGTAAAGGGGGGGGGGGGATTGATGATATGTACATGCATTTCAAATGTATAAAATTTGTACTTAAAATATATTTTGTGAACTATCTTACATGTAATAATTGTTTTATTGGTACATTATGCATTGATTATTTTCAACTGTGTAAATGGGGAAAATGTGGACATGTAAATAATGTATTATTGTATGTGTAAAATGTGACATTTTCTTATTCGAGAGAGTCTGTACATGTAAAAATGTTATATTCTTAATTATTTAGCTCATTAAAATTATTTGAATTAAAAATCTTGTTTTTCTTACCTGTGTGATCACAACAAAGGTTACTGAGGTAATTGGTAGAAATACAGGTATACAGTGTCAAAACTGTCCGTTGGTGACCAGACTGCATGCCGCATTGTTTATCCGCCATTATTGATCTTTTCAAGGGGAGACAACTCCTGAAATCAGAGAAATTTTAGTGAAAATGAGAGTTACCTGTCCCTCTTCCAATCTCACACAAGGAAATAATTTCACTATATATTACTATATAGCTTGAATTAAATTATTTAATTTATTCAACTCTCAGCAGAAAATTCATGAAAGAGAAAATAAAGATTAATGCTTAAACAAAAATTTGAGATCAGAAAAAATATGCCTTATGCGGCTTTTAAGAAAGAAAATCGACAGTAAACATACCTACCCAGAAATGCACATTGGATTCACATGTTGACAAACAGCCTACACATCATCAAGGAAGTTGCATCATGCGCACCTGAAAAAAGAGTTCCTTTTAATTCAGTGGGATAATTCTGCTAAAGAAATTGTTATGGGTCAGAATAACCCTAAATGCCAGCAAAGATCAATCACACAGTTTAAACTTAACAATAATTTATTTACAGTAATATACAAATCATTAAGTACAAACTTAGCAAAAATCTAAAAATACATACATCAGAGTGTCCGTTGCTGCACACAATGTCCCAATGAAAATATATCCCAGTTATATCTCAATAGTGCTTATACGACAAAGTATTCACAATTATTGTATATCTATGCATTGAATTGACAGGGTATTTATACAGTATTATAAATCTAGAATATTCTAGAAAATGTTAAAACATGATATTACTGGAACAATCTGGACATACACAAAATTTAAGAATGTTCTAGATAAAATGACCAAACATGTTGACCACTCTGGAATGTTCAAGAAACTTAATGTTACTAATTATATACATAATAAAACAATACACATCTCACAACACCTCCCCCCTTAAAAAAGTTTGAATGTCAATGAAAACTTATATTATTAAAATAAAAGTTATGTACATTAATACAAAATCTAGTATGTTTACGATACTCTTGACAAGGTGTCTGCAATAACATTGTCTTTGCCTTTGATATGCTTAATTGTTATGTTGTATTCTTGTAACAACAAACTCCATCTAGTCAGTCTTTGATTCTTGTTTGACAATTTATGCAAAAATGTCAGGGGGTTGTGATCCGTATATACAAGAATTGGATGCAAAGTAACATTCAAATAAACATCAAAATGCTGTAAAGCTAACAACAAAGCAAGGCATTCCTTTTCAATGGTGGAATAGTTTTGTTGACATTTTGTAAGTTTCTTTGAAAAATAAGAAACAACTCTATCTACATTATCACTATGTTCTTGAAACAAAGCTGCCCCGATTCCAACATCACTAGCATCAACAGTAAGCTTAAATCGCTTAGAAAAATCTGGAGTTGACAGAACTGGGTTGCTCATAAGGACAGATTTGATTTTATGAAAGGATTTTTCACAGTCCTTTGTCCATTCAAAGTTAACCCTCTTTTGTAAAAGATTTGTAAGTGGACTAACAACTGAGGAAAAATTTGGACAAAATTTTCTGTAAAACCCAGCCATGCCCAAAAACCTCATTAATTCTTTCTTGTTTGTAGGAATCGGGAACTTTGCAATAGCTTCCACTTTAGCCATAATGGGTGTAACATAACCTTGACCTACTTTATGACCTAAATACTCTACATAAGCATGACAAAATTCGCTCTTCTCAAGGTTCACAGTTAAGTTTGCTTTAGCTAAAATGTCAAATAAAGCACGCATGATACGGAGATGTTCGTCCCATGTTTCGCTGTATATGACGACATCATCAATGTAGGCCTCGCATCCCTCAAGGTCTTGAAGAAGGGAGTGAATCATCCTTTGGAATGTAGCTGGTGCGTTTTTCATGCCAAAAGGCATTACTTTATACTGGTAAAGTCCGTCTGGTGTAGCAAAAGCAGATATTTCTTTTGCTCTTTCTGTTAACGGTACTTGCCAGTAGCCTTTCAACAGGTCAAATTTACTGACAAATTTCGCGTTTCCAATGTTGTCAATACAGTCATCGATTCTAGGTATTGGATATGAATCAGTTTTGGTAACAGAATTCACCTTTCTAAAGTCTGTACATAATCGGTAAGAACCGTCTTGTTTTGGTACAAGAATACACGGTGAGCTCCAATCACTTTTACTAGGTTCAACAATGTCATTGTCCAACATGTACTGCACTTCCCTTCTTAGGTACTGCAATTTTATTGGATTCATACGGTACGGATGTTGTTTGATAGGCAGAACGTCACTCACTATGACATCATGACAAGCTGCATTAGTTTTCTTGGGAACATCCGAGAAGATTTGATGATACTCATTCATCAAGTTTTTAACTTGTTCTTTTTGGTGAATGTTCAAATGTCCAAGTTTGGCATCAAAATCAGCCAAAATTTCTGAGTTTTTCAAACGAACACTCTGATTACAATCTTTCTCATCCATTTCTACACTCGTATCACTTTCAATACAATTTTGAACAGTCTTAGCATTGGCTAAAGTGGAAACTGGTTTTACAGAATTTCGGTCACACCTTTCAAAATACTCTTTTAACATGTTAATGTGACAAACCCGTTTCTCTTTACGTCGACCTGGTGTCTTAACTACATAGTTTACATCACTGATCTTGCTTTCAATTTCATAAGGGCCATAAAATCTGGCCTGTAAAGGATGACCAGGAATAGGTAAAAATACAAGAACCTTATCACCTGGCTTAAACACCCTATTTCTAGCATCTTTGTCATACCACATTTTCATTTTCATCTGAGAACTCTTCAAATTTTCTTGTGCTAATTTACAAGCATTGTAAAGTTTTCCTTTGAAATCAGACACATAATCTAAAAGATTAAGATCACTAGTCTCAGTCAGCCACTTTTCCTTCAACAATTTCAAAGGACCTCTAACTGTATGTCCGAACACCAATTCAAAAGGACTAAACCCAAGAGACTCCTGGACTGCCTCTCGTGCAGCAAATAGTACAAGATGAACCCCTTCATCCCAGTCTTTCTCATACTGGTAACAATAGGTCTTCAGCATTGTTTTTAGGGTTTGATGAAAACGTTCTAGCGCTCCCTGGGACTCAGGATGATAAGCAGTTGAACTATATTGCCTTATATCCAACTCATGCATGACTTGCTGGAACAACCCCGACATAAAATTTGAGCCTTGATCCGACTGAATTGCCTTGGGTGCTCCTACAAAACTGAAAAACTTGGTTAGGGCCTTAACTATGCTCTTTGCCTTTATATTCCTTAGAGGTATGGCTTCAGGAAATCGAGTGGATGTACACATAATGGTAAGTAAATACTGGTTCCCAGATCTGGTCCTAGGCAAAGGTCCTACACAATCCACCAACACTCGACTAAACGGTTCTTCAAAAGCTGGAATGGGTTGGAGAGGAGCAGATGGTATCTTCTGATTTGGTTTACCTACCATCTGACAGACATGGCATGACTTGCAAAACTTCGAAACATCCTTTCTTAGCTTAGGCCAATAAAAATGACTCAAAATCCTATTATAAGTCTTATTGATACCTAAATGACCAGCCATAGGTGTATCGTGGGCTAAACTCATGACATCTCGATGATAAGCAGCTGGGACCACTATCTGGTGAACAACACGCCACACTTCATCTGGAGAAGCGTCAGGTGGTCGCCATTTTCGCATAAGGATGCCATCTTTCATATAGAAGCATTCTCCAACTTTAATAGCCTCTTCTGGTGGAAGTGCCCTCTTACTAAGTTGAATGATATCTGGGTCTTTATGTTGTTCAGAGAGTAAACGTTCTCGGCTGAGGATGTCCTTGCCTTGGCTAACTAGTGGATGCAACTCATCATCCTCACCACCAAATTTTGGTAAAAATTCTTTCTTCTCTTGCTTCTTGATATTGTGTGGTTCCATGCTGGTTTGAGTGCCATCAAGGTCAGATAAGAAAGTGTCATTCAAATCAATATCAACAGAGGAATTCGTCTCGTCAAAGGCTTGAGTATGGTCTGCCTCCATTTCTCGTCTTCTGGCCATCGCTCTAGTAACAGCACAGGCTGGATAAATGTCATCATCTTCATCATCGCACATGACATCTGGATTGATCTTCTCACAAACTATAGGATCTGGTACAACTTTCCCACCAGCTAAATCGTTGCCTAACAACAAAGAAATGCCTGGAACGGGAAGAGTAGGTCGAACACCTACGATAACAGGTCCAGTAACTAAATCTGACTTCAAACTAATTCTATGCAGGGGAACATCAATGACGCCTAGCTCCACACCCTGTAATAAAACTGACCCACCAGTAGAAGTCTGCTCAGACAAAGGAAGCACGCCCTCTAACAATAAAGTCTGTGCAGCACCAGTATCTCTCAAAATCTGGACAGGTTTTATTTCGCTAGAGTCACCGAGTGAAACAAATCCCTGAGACATAAAGGGCTTATAATCCTCCATAGAATCAATAGAACTGGACTGTAAACCCTGGACATCAGGAGTGTCAGAACAAATCGAAACTAAGGCTTCTCTATCACCTCTAACTGCCGCACAAGCATGTGGTTGAGTTTTATCAAAATCATTTTTTCTCTTAAGTTTAAAGCATTCACTGATCAGATGACCCTTTTTCTTACAATAACTACAAGTAGGAAGCGACCCTATTCCAGAAGATCCTTCAATACGTCCTGGACCGGACTTAGAACCACCTTGGGATGGAGACTGGGAACTTGTGAAAAACTGAGACCCTGAACCACTCTTTTTATATGTGTCTGAATTGGTAGAATTACTGCTAGTCTGAGATCTTGATACAAAATTCTTTTTATGAGACAGAGCATAAGTATCAGATATGATTGCTGCCTCTTCAAGAGTTTTCACATTCTTATCTTCTAAATGTGTTTTCAAATCTTGAGGAACACATTCCTTAAACTCTTCTACCAGGATGACTTGGCGCAAATTAGCAAAAGTTTTATCAAGATTCTTAGATCTAAACCAATGATCGAATAAATCTTCTTTCTCTCGTGAAAATTCAACAAATGTTTGATTATCAAACTTCCTATACTTTCTGAACTTTTGTCTATACGCTTCAGGTACTAATTCATATGCTTTTAATATTGCTGCTTTGACCTTCTCATAGTCTGAACTCTCAACTACCCCTAGTGCAGAGTATACCTCAGCCGCTTTTCCAGCCAGTACACTTTGTAACATTGTTGACCAAACATTTCGTGGCCATTTAAGATTCTCTGCGACCTTTTCAAATTGGGGAAAATATTTGTCTACAGATTTTTCTTGAAATTTTGGAACTAATCTGATATTTTTTGCTGCGTCAAATTCAGTTTTGACAACTGATGGTTCTGGTTGTTTTTGTAATTTTAATTTCTCTAATTCAAAGTTCATTGCACGCTCTTCTCTTTCTGCTGCTAATTTGTCTAATTCAAATTTTCGTTCACGCTCTCGTTCTTCTCT